CACCCCCCACCCCTGCGCGTTTAGCACCTGTTTACCACTCTAAATGTGAAAAAGTTCTTTCTTTTAGATATGAAAGTCTGTTGTTGGTATATCTTAAATAAGTGGCCTCTGTTGCTGGGGGTTTTCCGTGATATTGTTCCACATTATGATGAATGTACTTGCTTCGATGTCGTACATTTCTTGTGCTATCTTGACTGTTTCGAAATATCCGCGCGGTGTCATCTTTATGCTTTTGTAGGTAGATTCAGGTTTTTAGTCTTTCTTGGTAGGACAGATTTCATAATCCAGGAAGCTGTTTGGAGGTTCTTCTTTGTACCCCTTCTATTTTGTATGTACATTGCTTGACATGGAGACCATTATGAACATGAAAAATCTAGATGTGTTCGTACCAGACTCTTATACAGTGTTTGAAGTTTCTTTTGATGACTGCAGACAATGCGTTTGCCTTTCTGATTTGTTACACATATATGATAACTCATAAATAAATAAATTTATGATGTCAATAATGACTTTTTGAGGATGTGCACATGCTTATTATTCACCTTAAATGACTATAAAAACATTTTAAAAGTCTAAGAAAAACTGGTCAGTAGAAGTAGATGGTTATGTCGTACTACAGGTATATAAACAAAGATAATGTCCACTTTTTCTTTTTCTTTTTTACTGTTCCCGGTCAATTGTTATCACAAGCACGAAAACAGTATCAATGACATATTCCAGGGGTGTACAGAGCGAAATTGAGCGTAACCCCTGGATATCGAGGATGCCAGTAATGATATTGATAATGAAATAGACGTATCAGTAAACTTGCAGCTGAAATGTACTTTATTTCATACTTATTTTTTTTTTTTTATCTCATCCATATGTTTAGTGCACGAGTCCTTAAGGATTTCCTTGTGCGACTGGGTAGTGCCTTATGATGAACTGCAACCCTGGGATCGAGAAGTGGTTGATGATGAACACTTCAACTGCATTATTAGAAGTATGTATCAGAAATAGAAAATCAATCTTCCTTTGATCTATTCAGTCTATTGACTTTTATTTAAACTTCAAACAGTCATTCTATTGACGTTTATGATTTTTTTATCATTAATGTATCTCAAGTTCACGGTTAAATTACTGTGCAAATTAGTTCGGTGAATTTTGACATATTGTTAAAAGCAAGAGTATCGTCTCTAACATATCAAAAAAGGCCATGGCATAAACTCTAGGAAATGCATTTTGTAGAAAATTTAACCTAGCTGTATTACATAACAGCTTTTAATTCTCCTCGACAGTTTTCATGATTCGAAATTCATTAATTATATTTGCATTTTTTGTTTGCAGACTGCATTCCTATGGGAGGTATGTAAAAAAATATACAGGCTATTTTCAATGGAAGTTATGTACAAACTCTGTATCTACTGACTGTGTTTCTATGGGAAGTATGTATTTACAATTTTTTATATACAGACTGTTTTTCTATGGAAAGTTTGTGTACACAAACCTTTATGTACAGGCTGATTTTCTATGGGAAGTATGCATTTACAAACTTTTATATACAGACTGTTTTTGTTTCCGAAGTATGCTCAATCTTTTTTTATCTACCGGGTTTTTTTCTATAAGAAGTATGTACAAACGTTTTTTTACTGTTTTTCTATGGAAAGAATGTATTAGAAATTTTAATATATATACTGTTTTTCTATGGAAAGTTTGTATTTACAAATTTTATACACAGACTGTATTTCTATGGGAAGAATGTATTTACAAACTTTTATATACAGACTGTTTTTTAGGAAAGTATATACGAAATTCCATATTCCTGTTTTCTTTTGGAAGTATGTATTTACAATTTTTTATATACAGACTGTTTTTCTATGGAAAGTTTGTGTACACAAACCTTTATATACAGACTGTTTTTCTATGGGAAGTATGTATTTACAAACTTTTATAAACAGGCTTTTCTTCTATGGGAAGTATGTACAAACTTTTATTTAATGTTTTTTTATATAAGAAATATTTACAATTTTTCTATACACAAATGTATTTTTTTATGAAAGGTATGTACACACTTAATGATTTATATAGGTTTTGTGTTCTGTGAGAAATATGAACAAACTTTTTATACGTAGACTATTACTTTATACGTGTTTCTATGGGTGGTAGTATATACAAGCCTTCGATAGAAATGACGTCGCTCCTTTTATCAGAGAAGGGAATTAGGCATCTAACAATTATAAATATAAAAGTTGTATCAGATATGCAGATAAACAAATATAGAGTCAAAGTAATTTCCAATTCAATTGTCAGTGATCAATTCACGTCGTCATTTTATTTTAAACGTGAATGGTTTTTAATATTCATTCAACCCTTGACCTCAATTTTGTTCATTTATTTTTCAAAGACGGTTTGGACATATAAAAATGCCGCCATAATAAAGTTAGTTCTTCTTCCGACATAACTCATCTTTATTTATTTATGAGTTAATAAATAAAGTAAAATTGTTAACTTATTGCATGAACATTTTTGTAATCCCCAGATATGGAGCTGATGTGCTGTAATGAGGGTAAGTAATAAATATAATTAAAAAGTATATTTAATGTCAGATTAATATCGTTATGGAAACATTCCTTTTAATATATATTGATGGTGACACTTCATTTTCACTATATTGGAGTCTAGAGAACATAACAGGAGAATTACATAATGGAAGCCACTAACTAACTATCATAATGTCTACAGTTAATTAGAAAATTAATAATCCATCCCGCCAACAACTTCCGTTTTAACAATAAAATATGCTTTTTTACCCTTTACTTACAGATCAAAGTGGAACAGTTACCTGTACCAGCTACGAAGGTATATATCATTTCCGAAGAAAACAACTATCGATACCAGTCCTAATTTGTAACAGAATACTGATATTTTTATTTATAACTTTACATATATATATCAACACTTGTGTGACCGCACAACGCACCAAAAATAGCGTACGCACATTGTGCATACATCGTGCACACATCGTCCGCACACCGCACATCGTGTAACGTTGTGCGATCCCACAACTGCAAATATTGTATGGACAGAGAGATCACTTATAAAAGGAATGCTAAGAGAATGTTGCATTTGATAATTATGATTGTGGAATGGCTTTCAGATGTAATACTTAGTATGTCTTTTATAAATTTGTCTTTCGAGATGTTACGTGGATATTGCTTTTGTCATTGTTCAATATTTTTAAAACCTGGGTCAACTTCAGAAAACAGAAACTGTCTTCAAAAGGTCGTCTCGTCCCAATAGAAATGAAATTGATGTCAAAATCAAACAGTCGATCACATACAGTCTTCTTTTACAGGTTATAATTAAAATCATATTCTCAATTGAGTTTTTAAAATGTCTGTTTTACAGATTGTGTTACGGACCAAGGTATGTATTCGTACAGAAACATAATATCTATTAAATATAAATTTTACTTATTTTACAACAATTATGAAACAAGTTATTATATCTTATGTTAATATCTATTATTAGTTATATAAAAGCGTACGTGTCAACAAATTTAATTGATATGAATATAACCTGTATATTACCACAAAATCTGTACGTCACTGGAAAAAAAATATTTAAGCTATTAATAGTATGATTCGCTTAAAATTCTATATTTCGCTAAAGCAATTCCAAATTCGTATAGATATAGGCCTTTTTTAGTCAGCCTCCGCAATAATGTCACAGTCGATTCTCGTGTTCTCTACATCAATCCCATGAATGTGCCCACTTTATCAATCAGTCCTAGTTTAACGTAAAAAGTCATGGCGATCCTGTTTATGTACTTGTTTTCTTTGCCAACTTCTATTTTGAAGGTGGGGTATATAAAATTTCATTTTGGTTAAACGCTGTGGTGTATTTCGGCTTAATTCATTGACGCTGTGGTATATAACGTCATTGTGTGTTGACGTGTAGCGCAATCTGCACTTGCGCTTTGTGGTTGTAGATTTTTTCTAATATTAAATGTAAACCTATACACGCTCTAGTCATCATGAAAACAGGGTCCTTTTTGTAATGTATTCAATAAATACAATTTTCTGATATTACAATGACCTTCTATGACTATGTAAACCTGAAACAAACTTTACGTACAACTACTCAAATGTAACACATTCGATTGTTTCTTTGTAATGACAATCATAGACCGTACCGTTAATTTGTAATAATTATGAATTACGTTTTACATTATCAGTTGAAGAGACGACCCATTGCTGTACAGCATGTAAGTAACGCCAATTTTAACAAATCAGAACAAAAATATCTTTATTCTTTTCTTTAAGTCCTATTTCTACATTTACTATATATTTCTTTTGTTTCTACACGATGCTGATATAAATTGAGTAGCACTTCATCGTATTGTCATTGTTTCTGATACAGACATTTCTGCTGGTTTTAGTATAAATGATGACCAACTGTAAAACACGTGTAGCTGCCATGTTGCAAAATTATTCTTTTCTTTTACAGCAAACGAAGTGCCGAACGCATGTGTGGACTATCCAGGTATTGAATATCTCTATTTTTAATATAAACATATACATACATGATCAAAAAATGATTCTGTAATAGATATGTCAAAATGAATGCTAAAACTTCTTGCAATTTGTTTCTACAAGTACTCATAAAGTAGCTACTGATGTGAAGCATAGTGTTATTCTCAGTTTTTAGTCTTTCAAAATAGTTCCGCGAACATAACTCATCAATATAAACAATCGCCATAAAATTAAGATTACTCAGGTAACTTATAGAAAACAGTGAATGAAACAATGAACTTTGAGTTGTATTTCCAAAAATAGTTGGTTATCAATGGCGTTAGAGATTAATGACGTCACTGACCTAATTTATCTTACCTATATATTCCTATAATATCTTCTTAATCATTAATTGCATTGAAGAAGTACTGCACTAGAGATAATGTTATACGTATGGGTAAAGATTGTAAGACATTTCACCGGTAAAGAAGTTCATACCATCGTACTAGTACACATAGCGCAAATATTTTATCTTTTATGGTTTCTTTACAGGTTATTTAAAGAAAAAGTAAACAAAAGAATCAATACGACATTTGGTACAAAAGAAGTGCAGCTGTTGTCGATTTTTGTATATTGGTGATGACACCTAATACACTGATGCTATTTGGTTGTACATCGACAATAAAGGTTATCAAATATTTTATCTTTTACAGTTACAGTATCAATTGCTCGGTAAATTCTTACGTCAAAGTGTCGATATCTGTATCAGATAGTTTTCTTATAGATTCGGTTTTAATTAACATTGTTTCATAAATAACATCACTAATGTGAAAAAAGATGGATCAATTCACCGTTTCCTTTTGGGAGAAATTACATTTTTGTTGCAAATGAAGTGCAATGATACAAAATGAAAAAGAATATTCTGTCACAGTAAATTAACATTCATGATCAGGATGAGGACAATACATATCTTTTCAAATAAGGTTTCGTGTATATGTTTCACTGTTTCAAATAATAGTTCTGGACTTTTCTTTGAATCAAAGATAAAATTTAATAATTTAAACTTTACATAGGCCATTTCTAAGCAGCTGACGTAAAGTTGACATTTTCAACCAACACGCCTCAGTTCATTCGTGACCTCGAGTGTTGTTAGCGTGGTGTGAAACACATGTCGCCGTAGTTCGAAAATAGCGTGGGATACACTTACTAAAGTCTAACAGAGGATGAAAGGGACAATCACGTGTCCCTCACACAGCTTTTAACAAAAAGGTATTAGAATGAATATGAAGCGTATCAGAACTCAATAATATTACCGCACATATCGTTCTCTGTGGAAACAAAGCTTCAAAATAGCTTCAGTTTACATCAAACTGTTGTATATTTTGTATCATTTCAAATGCATACACATAATAATTACTTTAACAAGGACAATCAGGCCGAATTGCTCCGTCATATCATAGGCAAATGTTACATGTATAATAGGACAAATTTAAAAGTCACGGGAGGGAGTTGAGTTAGGAGTTAAACCACATCTATTCGTGCACTGGTATTTATATTTAGGGAAAAAAAATCTAATTCACGGTGGTTTTCCTCCGCGTAGTCAGGTAATCTTCTTTAAAGCTAGGGTTTAAAGAATTATTGATAATAGGACGATTATTCAACTGCATATACATAAATGAAATATCGCGCCACGGAAGCATCCTTCTCTTCGGATTGATAAAATAGTAGTTGACTTGATATTTCACTCCCGTGCAAGGGTTGGCAGCTAGGTCGACTGATCTACTATAACGACGAGCTACTCTTGCTGAAGGAATCTGAATGTATCTGCTGCCAAATTCCAGCACTACAGATTTAATTTCGTCTACTCCTTCCAGTAGGGTCTCCTAGCTGTAACTAGGAGGTTAGTGTGACACTGTTTCAGTAATGGTCGTTCCATGTCACCATGGTAATAACATAACGATGTTTTATCGTTCAATTGACCGTATTAAATTACTTGAAAAAGAACAGCGAACATGGTTCCGTCGTTACTCGCTTTAAATGTCACAAACATTATATAAATAAACGCAGGCTCCTCCATTTGTAAATCATGTATATGTGCTGACATTTATTTAAATTACATTATTATCAACCTTAAGGGTGTTATCAATTCCCTTCAACTGAACTAGTAGGCGGTACATAGCGGAGATGTGTGGTAGTATAACAACAGATGCGTACAAACAAATATGAAATTATAGGGCTTTATCCCACTCTGATAAAGCCTCTGGAAAATGGTCTCTAAAGTTTAGATTGGAGTTAGATTTTTATGCAAGTGTAACGTTTAATTGCTTGACTGATCAGGGTCGTTTGATTGTACATGGGCTACAAGAGGTATCAAGGAATGAGTGAGTAGGGTCACAAGTGTTCCTATAGAGGCAGTGGATGAGTTTTGAAGACAACTATTAGAAATCTTGGGTAGGTAATGAGTATCAAGGGAGATAAATCCAACAGGTCATAAAAGACATTTTGTACATGTACATTCTATAACTATCAAGCGTGGCTTTTGAAATATATGGAGACATATCATACACATAAGATAGCCAGGGTAGGCAATGGCAAACAAGGGATATATATGAAACATGACTACCTAGACAATTTGTGTATGCTATTGGTATCAACTGAGGCTTTTGAAATCAATGGAGACATATCATAAAAATTGACTAGATACACTAGGTATACTATTGGTGTCAAATCAGAACTACCTTACATTACTAGCTATAGTCTCGTTCAACAAGAAACCTGTCATACATGTACATGTATTGGGCTACATATTATAAATCATAAAAGTTTCGTATTTGTATAAGCACAGGTACTAGCCTCGTCTGTCAATACACCTATAATATAATCAAGGTTGCCAACTCCAGAAAAGTTCCAGAAAACATGCTATTTTGTCATAACCCATCATAGTATGACACCGGGAACAGTCTAGATCGACAGGAAAATATTGTTTTCTTTAATTTGATGTATGATTTGCCATATAGCATGCTGTGTAACAACATTGTCTACAAATTGAAGACAAATATTTTCCTATCGATCTAGACTGCTCCCGGCGTCATACTACGAACGGTTATGACAAAATCACATTTTTCTGGAACTGGGTCATTTTACTAGGGGGTCACAGTTAGCAACCTTTATTATATTATAGGTGTATTGGCAGACGAGGCTAGTACCTGTGGTATAAGCATGAGTGGTGTATTCTTACAATGACTAGTATAACAGACTTCACCGACTCATTCAAACAATCTGACCTACCTACAAATGTGCATCATTAATCCTACCTACGGATGTATTGATACTGTATGTTTCGTACACTTGGATGTGTTTACCTAAGCTTGCATTGAATCAGGAATCACAACTAGCCGAAACACTTTTTTCAAAAAGTAGAATGTGAGCAACTGCAATTATCAGAAAACATATTTTTCCGATGATATAGTGGCACAAGGACCACATGTCTAATCTCGGAGGCATTTTCTTTATACCGATGAAGCCATTATCTTTCGTTTTCCGGACTGTTTATCCCTCTTCTTTTCCGGTGGTGATATTAGACGTCGGTACATTGATAGCCATGATGACGGAGTCTACAGTGATCAAACTGCTACTGGCCATTACCATCATGAAATACATTACTGAAACATATGATACATTATTAACGCCATGTTATCATACAAAGAAATGAAGCAACATATGCTGTATTCCATGCATTATACACATACAGTCAAGTCTAGAGTGTAAACATATACAATATATACTAGCGTCTAAAAATATACACTAGTGTATATACACAGAGTATACACATCAGTGTAAACGAATACAGTAAACGAAACAGTGTAAACACATACAGTTAACATAAAAGTATAGACACATACAGTATACATACCAGTGTAAACACATATTACAGTAACACCACACTGTTAACGCATACCGTTTACATGTCAGAGTAGAACATACAGTATACAGGTAGATGTTAACACATTCAGTATACATACCAGTGTAAACACACACTATATACACTACAGTGTAAACACATACAATATACACTACAGTGTAAACACACACAGTATACACCACAGTGTTAACAATTAAATTATACACTACAGTGTAAACACACACGGTATACCATACAGTGTAAACACACACGGTATACCATACAGTGTAAACACACACAGAATATACCATACAGTGTAAACACACACGGTATACCATACAGTGTAAACACACACGGTATACCATACAGTGTAAACACACACAGTATATACCATACAGTGCAAACACACACAGTATATACCATACAGTGCAAACACACACGGTATACCATACAGTGTAAACACACACAGTATATACCATACAGTGCAAACACACACAGTATACCATACAGTAAAAATACCGTTTACACTACAATGTTAACACAAACTGTATACACACAAGTATAAACACTTGCATTATAAATGCCATTGTAAACACATAATGAATATCCGCCAATGTTTACATAAACAGTATACCCGAAAGTGTAAACACATTCAGTATACACCATATAGTGTAAACATAAATAATATATTCTACAGTGTCGGCAAACAACACAGGTCACACAACAGGTTTAAAAAGTGACATGGAAAAAGAAAATTAAAAATTAAGATTATACCAAAACTTATCGAAAAAGAAATGTACAAAGATCCCAAATAAATAGATAAATGAAAATCTATCAATGTATCATGAGGACATCCTGGGGGTTTGTAAGTCACCTTAATATAATGTTTATCAAATTCAACTCATTACCTTTATATTAAAGTTTTCATGAACAACAAAGTTTTAAAACAGCATATAAGGAAACAAGAAATATAACTCCATACATGATAGAAATAAGACCAGTCATGCATGGTTATAAAAACATGCGAAAGTAAAAACAAAAATGTATATTTAATTCAAATTTGAAATAAAATAAATTTAAAATTACCTTTCATGGCACAAACGAACTTGCAACGTGAATTTCTTTCTTTTAGTAATACAAGATTGGACCTGTTCTTTTTTCACAACAGAGCGCACTACAATATGAAAACGTGGAATTCTTCGACACCGTTTGGTATCGGAAAGGTTTGAGGTGCTGAAAACAAACAACCGACTATGACACAACACATACATGTACCTCAAATATATCGATAAATGGATTATTTATTGATCTCAAACCACCTTTACTTTCACCAACAGCTGCTACAATCCGTCAGTAAAGTCCTCGGTTTTCAATCTTTTCAACCATAATGTATGCCATTGGAGTGAATTATCAACAAAAAGAGTCGGCCTGGAAATCTTCTAAAACAAGGATGATTTTTTCCGTTTTCGGTCCGGATCAGAACGGCTTAAAATTTGAACTCCACGTTTTCATAAAGCAGTGCACTCTGGCCCAACACCAGACATCTTTCTGTCGAAATGTCTTAGTCTGGTGTCGGGGCCAGAAGATACTCGAGCTAGAATCATAAGTATTTTACCTATTATTGGTGTAACGTCTGAGTTTGTTGGAAGATGTTTCTCCATCTGAGTGAGAAATACCATACACGCGAGTAGTATAGTCATCCGACCGCCTTCCTCCGTCGGTATAGAGTACACACCCACAGTTACAACAGGCAGAATTACTGAAGGAACAACTATAAGGAACACATAGACATCGTTT